GAAAAAATATCGTAGTATGCCCTGAAACTTCAATAAACATTTCAAATTTTGTCCCAAGGTTGACCTTTTAGTACTTGACATTTCAAAAAAAAATTATTAAAATCGGTTTATAACTTCAAATTTTAGGGGGGTGTTTCCATTAGAAATGGGTCACACTGTAGAAATATTCGTTTTTGCATTTTTCTCTCAATAAATATGGCTTGATCTGTTTCGTTTTTGGTGATGCACCCTGTGTAGGATTTTCAGGCTATATTTCAAGTAGAAAAATAGTAACGTTTAAAAAAAAATTGACAGAAAACACATTACCTGTGACAGTACTTGACGTATTCAAACTAGTATCGCTTAGAGCTTTGATCAACTTCTGTTCTGGCTGGGGTAAAAGATTTTTCAAGCTGCCACCCAAAATATTCCTTGCTTCGAAAGCTTCCCTATCCTGCGACGTATTAATTACTCTATTACTCTTGTGCTCTCTAGAACAGACGAGTCTCACAGCGCTTGGAAGTTCTCTGAGAATTTTAACCACCTCGACATGTTTCATTCCCATAAGTTTCTGACCGTTAACCTGAAAAGTAAAAAACATTTGACGTTAAGTGAATATTCGATAAAAAACGTACATTAAAAAAACATCAAGTCTAGCGAAAGATTTACCTCCAGGAGTTCATCGCCAGGACTCAGTTTCCCGTTTTGTCCAACAGGACCTTCCGGCAGTATAGACCGGATATAGTGATGGGGTCGAAGTTCAACTCCCCCCTCCACATCCACAGTGCCCTCTAGACTGATTCCTAAACCTGTCGAAAAAATACGAATATAAACTCCAACGAATTCAAAAAGAGTGGAATGTTGACTAAAGATTTTGGGACATATAGTTTAGTGACGTCTCACCTTTGAGTTTGGTCAAGTTTGCGACAACTATATCAGCACCACTGCCTATGATTCCTTGCCATTTACGTTTGATAACAGTTTCTAAATCATCTTCTGGATTAGCTTCAAAATCATCTTCAATGAAGATCTCTTTCGTTTCGGAGCTATGTGCATAGACTGCACTATCAGCGCTTCCAGTTGAGGTCCTTTCGTGGTCAACCTGAGGCTGAACAAAAATACCCAACTAGTTACTGTACTCACAAAACGATAACAATTATATGAAAATATATTTATTATATAGGTATATTATGTACAGGTACACTACAGAACACTTATTCTTCTCATTCTCATTGACTTATCATCGATTATATCTGATCCATACACAATAAATTTGGAAAGTACATGCAAATTTTTTGAACAGCCAGACAGAGCCGTCTTTAGTGCAAATCGAATGGAACAGTCGCTCCAGGCCTAGGCCCTAAGTTGAGGGGCCTTACTTGCACTATAATGTTTTTAGGTTGAGGTTAAAAGGGTTTATGAAGTTTTTTTAAAGTCAACAAAGCTTCCTGAGACTTCCAGCGAGATATATAAGCACTACCAACAGGCAGATGAGGCAAGTCTAGTTGAAAGTGTGGTACGAAGTTAGTTGATAAGGCCATTGACATGTTGAGCTTTTTTATCACAAGACTCAATTTTTAGATTGTAATTTTTTTTAGTAATACATACAACATATTTACGATTACTTTACATTTACATGTCGAAAAGAAAATGAAGAAATTGAAAGAAAAATATTGACAAATACATCTGTTTAAGACTGTTTTCAATTTGATAATCAAATTGAATAGGATTTTTGGACCTAGAAAATGAAATACAATAGCACTTATCAGCATTCAGAGACATTCCATTATTTTGTGACCAGTTGATCAATTCGTTCAGATCAGATTGAAGACATTTACAGTCAAGGTTGGTTTTGATTGGCATATAAACTTTGAGGTCATCAGCGAAGAGAAGATATTTACAGTGGCGAAAGTTTAGAGCTATATCATTAATAAAAATATTAAAGAGAAGTGGGCCCAGATGTGATCCCTGCGGGACGCCTGATGTGACCTGAATATCACTGGAAATGTGGTTTTGAATTTTTACCCGCTGTTTCCTATCAGATAAATAATTGTTTAACCAACATGTTAACCAAGTTGGAAAACCTGTTAATTGAAGTTTACTAATCAACAAACTGTGGTTGACTCTATCAAATGCCTTACTGAAATCAGTGTAAATTGCATCAATTTGAAGGCCTTTTTCTAGGGCCATGGTGATGTCTTGTTGATATACCAGTAAATTCGATGTTGTTGATCTACCTGCAGCAAATCCATGTTGATTTTCATTTAGCATATTTTTGCAATGCCACGAAAGATAGTGCACAAGTAAAGATTCGAAAAGTTTTGAAATATCTGAAAGTTTGCTGATTGGACGGTAGTTTTTATGTCTTCCTTTTTGGCACTTTTGAAAATGGGAGTGACATAACTATTCTTCCATTGGCAGGGAAATATTCCAAGCTTAGTTAGCACAACGGCTTAGTTAGCGAGTAGAAACATCTTTTAAGGAAATAGGCAGGGATCTCGTCCGGTCCACAACTCAAATTTCCTTTTAATGAGTTCAACCCTTCTAATACTTCAACATTACTAAATGGAATGTCAACCACTGCTTCAACTGCTTCGTTCATGACATTATCTAAATCCAATTCTTTTCTAGTATAGACCCTTGAAAAATTTTCGGCAAAAAGATCAACAATATTTTCCCCTGAATTAGCTATTCGATCCTCAAGATACATATAATTAGGAAATCCATGATTTTTTCCTATTGAGTTTATATAATTCCAAAAATATTTTGAGTTGCTGATTATTTGGTCATCAATATTAGGCTATATAAGTATCATAGCAAAATTTCATAAGGTCCTTGCATTGAAACCTCAGATCGAAAAATATTAGGTAATCCTGGTCTGAACGAGTTGATTTATAATTTGCGTGAGCTATTTTTTTCTCAGTTACGAGTAACTTCAGCTCTTTGCTATACCATTTTGGATAAGTTGTTGGTTTACTTTTCTTCCTAGGAATGAAGTTTGCAAAAGAGTTCCTAATAATTTGGTAAAATATCTCAACTATAGTATGAATATCTAAGTTATTGAATAGAAGTTCCCTGTTTATTGGTGCAAAATAATTATTTAAGCCTACATAGTCTGCATTCTTAAAATCATAGTAAAACTCCTCAAATAGAAGGGGTTCAAAATATGAGATATTTGTCATCTCCATCCCTTTGAATTTATTATCATTATGTATTCGAATAACAAATATGTTAATTTACTGAAAAAGAAGAAAATTGTGTATTATGAGAAAAATATTGATTCAAATAGAGATAATTCTAAAGAGATGTGGAAACATTTGAAGTCTTTTATAAAACCTGACATTATCGAAAACTTCAATTAAGTAATTTTTTCATCTCCTGAGCCTTATATTATTACTGATTCACTAGAGATGGCTACATCATTCAACCAATATTTTATCGATAGTGTCAATCACATAACTAACAACATTAGCTCAAATAGACTATGGTCATCTCAAAATTACTCATTTAAAACATTCAAAAAAGTAAATATAGGACAATTGACAAAATTTATATTCTCATCAACATAACAGAATAATTCTGAAATCATTAAGAGAGATTTTTTGAAAAGTATGTTCGATACAATAGGTTATGTTTTTTTTAACATAACCATCAATGGAAGGAAGTGTCTTTCCAGATGCACTAACGCTCAGTACAGTAATACCTATACCAAAAATAAAAGATACTATTGAAGCTTGTCATTTTAGACCAATAAATGTATTACCAACACTGGAAAAAATTATTGAATTGTAAGTTTTAGACATGCAACCTAGTCAATGTTTCAGTGTTGAAACAATATTTGTCATCACATACCTAAACCATATTCATCCTTGATGAGTGAAACTGTAAACTTCTCCGTCTCTGGCTCGGAATTGCACTCTACATCGACAGCAACTGGTGACACAATCAGCTGCTTGTTCTCTATAGGTGATACACCATTCGAGGTAACGCAATTTTTGTCATTGAAAACAGCAGATTCGCTGACATTCAAGGCATTTATCCTGTTTTCAACTTCCGTTTGCAGGAGTTCATTTTTGACAACTTCTAGAGCGTGGGTATATTGATAAAATGTAGTGCTGTAGCCGTTCTGTATTAACTGGCGATCAAGTTCCTCTGGATCTGTGAGTATTTTCGTCGGCACAACTGGTGCGGAACGATTGAATGTGTTGAAGTCTATCGAACTAGGTTCTATTGAGCGCGCTACCACCATTCTCACCTGGAATTTAAGTAACAAGATGAAACAAGTCAAACACAAATAGTGTGAATATTTCACAATTAAAATATTTGTAATGAATGGAAATACAGTTTGGCATGCTTCTACTCCTAAAGACACAAAAACAAGCCTTATTAGATTGTTTTTTTAGGGCTGGTACTTGGCGCCTCTGTTAAAATCGTGGGGCCATTTTTAAAGTAACTATGATTATCAAAAATTCGTACTTTGTGACATTCACAATATTACTTCAAACTTTAATATGGTTATATTGATAACCTTTTCGAAATAATTACCGAAAAATAATATATTTTATGGAAAGACATAGAAACAAGGTCTGAATGAAATGATTTCATACATGTGTGAAATTTTTTCGCAGATAACTAAATAATTTTTTCATATACCGATATTTCCACTGTAAAAGAAGGCCTAAATGTGTTAACGAACGTTCAGTAAACCTGGATCGAGAAGGCGATAATTTAGTTGCGGGTTTACTGTTAATTTGTTTTCAACTTTCACTTTCACTCTGTCATAAGTTTTATTGAAGTATTTTGATAGTTTTGTGTATAAAATTGAAACTGACAGTGAATTGGAATGTATTCCTCTCGAAATTAATGAAAATACAAAAATTTGCCGCTAGATCTTTTGCCACAGACAACCAAATATAAGTATGAGGCAGCATATAAAAAGTTTTAGCAATGGCGAGGTTAAAATAGTACTAGTCACAATTGACGATGCTTACAATTACTCTAAACATTTAACACAATAAAAAAAAAATATAACCCTTTCAAATCACAATATCAATATTCCTGACTATATAAAACAGCAATTTAAAAAAAAAAACAGAAAATTATACAACACAGAATTTTCCTAAATACAGCACCGAACGAAAAATTCCAAAAGGTAATTCTGGCAAATTAATTGAAAGGAAATAAAACCCAACACTTCAAAAATAGGCTTTGACAACTACATACTTATTTATATTCATCAATCAGAACAGTTGTTGATAGGTTTCCTGCCAATATTTGAACTTCACCTTTTGTTATATGGCATAGAATATGTGTTTTTTTGTAAACTGTTGTTTGTGTTTTTTTATCTGATAACAATAAAGATGTTCATTATTACTATTATTATCTAAAATTTTTGATCTCGTAAAAATAATTATGCACAGTTATCTTGTAGAAAGAGTGAACTAAAAGACACCCATCAGATGCAAAAGTAAAAATAAGATATCTCCCTGACAACAACACATTCACTAACACAAAGGTGCAACATACTGATGTGAATTCTTACGTATTGACATATTGGTGTAGTTTATAAAAATTGTAACCACCTGCTGTCCTGCCTGTCTCAGTACGGTAGCGACTTGTTCCGCGGTGAGGCCTCTCAAATTCACATCACCGATTTGAAGGATGTGGTCTCCGCTCAGCAACCGGCCGTCTTTATCTGCTATTCCGCCTGGAAGGATTGACTTTATGACGACGCCAGTGCTTCGCCCACCAACGATTCCGAAACCCAGACCAGAACCATCATTGAAAAGATCAATCACTTCGACTTGAGACCATTCTGTGCTCAGTACCATTTTTTTTGATTTTATTCATTTCTCCGTTAGTTGAAATTTAAAAAGGTCTGTATTTCGGAATGCTCGGATGTTTTAAATCAATAAAGGCATCACAATTTATAGGTTAGGGGTCGATTCGATTCAGCTAATTGTAATTTCATGAGCTACATCACATAAGGGTACTATTTCGGATGTTTCCAGTTATATCAGCCCAACTATAAATAATTCAGAGTAGTTTTCAGCATGACTCCAGGGACCTAAGTATTAAAAATTAACACAGCTGATTGTCAATGTCAATATTGTCAATATGAAAGGTTGTCTTTGTCAACTGTCAATTCGGGGGAACCACGGAGTGGTAAGTGTAATAATTCGAATTTCAAATTCCAAGTAGATATTGACATAAGGGACTACAGTCACAAACATTCAAATATTAAATTTTTATTTCCATCAAAATGATATGGTTGTGGTGCAACTGATGTATATGTCAAATATCATTTCAATATCGTTTAGTTTCAATGAAAATTAAAAGTTGTAATTTAACTGATTACATCAAAAATATAACACTTCATATTTAAAAGAGGAAAACATACTGAAAAAAAAAACATTTTGCTTAAAAAAATTGTACTATTCTTTCTATTTCTTCATCCCAGAGCAATATTTTATTGTTCCGAGGGATTCGTCAAGTTTCTCCTGGCGTTGAATGAATGTTGAAATCACACGAATATAAAAATGAATTGGTGTACAAGCAACTGGTCCGCCACAACTAAGTATGAACAAAGTATATAAAGCTACAAGAATGTTAGGAAAAAACCTGAAACACTACCTTGTTGGTAAGGTTTAGAGATGAAACAGATAGTAGTTTAGCTGGATACCGACTATTCGGCGGAACGTTGCTATTTGATGCATCGCGTAGGCGTGCAATAATGATAGGGTGGGCTCGATCTAATTACAAACTTTCTGTTGATTCAACAGATATTCGGGCCTCGTTGAAATACTTTGGCTGAATTAGAAGCGCACTTTTAACTCCATTAATCAATACCCAAATTACTTGATTGCAACTTACCTAGACCTGAGATTCAAAACAAACTACTCGGTGGTGCTAAGGGAAAAAGAGACAGAGTTAGGTGTATCTCACAAAGCTCATTACACGTTTTCGAATTGCTTTAATGAGGTAGCAATTGAAAACAATACTAACCAGGTTCGGCGTGAAGAAAGAAAGTAGATATCATGTGAGCTTGATTTTTATCTCAAGTTAGTGCGAATTATTGATCGTAATTGAGACCCTTATTTTTGGTGGGCAGCTAATGCTAAATACTACCCATATTTTAAACCTTTCAGCAGTGTGTACAATAAAAGACTTTTTTCTGAAACTAGCTTTATACACGAAAACAAGCGAAACCGCTTGCTATTTCTTGATGTACTCCTTCACTATAATTTGCGCTTAGTGCAGTAGGAGTACTTATTCATTTACTAGGTTGTAGAATTATTGTGTGATTACTGATTGTATTTTTTAAGTAATACTAACCGAATGAAGCAATTAATTTCCTAAACATATTTTTTTCAATCCAGTATTTGGCCGGATAGGCGCTTGTTATCCGGTATTCGGGCGGATATCCATTTGATCTCTAGTAATGTTTACTATACCTGAACTTTATACTACGATGATCAGTCACATTTTTTACTATAACTAAAGCAAATTCAAATCCAAGATAGAGTGGATGTAAACATTGACATGCCCTACGCACGTGATATTGAAAATCCCAAGAATTGGCCAGGGTCGTATTCAGAACCAACATCTTGTTGATCGCAAATTACTTTGAGATCTGCAAATTTGAACGTGGTGTTATGCTTAGCTACAAAATTCTTCACATCCGCCCATATTAACTCGATGGGATTGAGCTCGCAGTGGTATGGAGGCAGGCGAAGGATAATTTTGTTTTGGCCTGCTGCCATCTCATCGACTATTTATTTTTGGTATTCAAGCTTGCACTCCTTGACAATTTTTAGTAGCTGTACTCTTAGTATTGAGTCTTCAAAGCTAATATTCTTTGATCACAGCCAATTTTGGATTTCAACCTTCTTTGAAGACGTTGTCGGAATCTTCTCTAACCGTCGCGAATGATAAGGTGCATTGTCCATTACAATCACAGCATTATCCTCCAGATGGGGTAGAACTTTGGAAAACCACTGTTCGAAAGATTCACCGTTCATTTCTTTGTGATAATCTCCAGTTTTCTTCGACTCGAAACACCACAGCCCTTCAGCAACAAACCCATTCTCATTGCCGATGTGACAAATAATAAGTCGTTTTCCTATACCTGGAATTATGAAGAGGTATGTAAGTAAATAAAACAAATACGAGAGTTACTTTTTATATATTGAGATTGAGGCAGGTCTTAATATAAATATAAGTTTACCTGATGGATTTGTTAATCCGGTGGATAGTCCATCTAGAAAGGCCCTCCTAGATGAGGTCACAGTTTCATCGACCCATACTTTAGGAGTAGTATGACCAGCATTAACCCAGGTTTCATCCATATAATAAATTGTTCTCTGTTGTTTCCTATAATATTTAATTTTGGTCAAATACTCTCTCCTCCATAACACAATTTCGGTAATGGTCTCAGTTTCGACCGAAACCTAAACTTCCTTACAAGGATTATGTTTTGAGGGAACAATGAAAAAACGTTATTATAATCAATCAGTATTTTTTTCATCTTTAAATCACAACGTTATGCAGTCTTCAATATTTTTATTTATTGATAATCAACAAATCGACTTATTTAAGAAAAAATATTGATTGCACCTTAAAAATACTTAAAATAGGTGAAGTGTTTATTTGAGTAGGTGTAGATTCTTTTGAATATCATTAACGGTGTTTCTAAAATATTAAACATAAAATTACTTATTTAAGTTGTTACCTAATATCACAATATGTACTTAATATTTATGTGATAAACAGAGTAAGTCACGACTTGATTAGGGGCACGTGGACGCGGCAAAATGTCTTCAACGTACCGAACATTTCCGATCACACCGCGAGAACTCCCGAATGCAATTTCGGTTGGGTTTCGGCAGGTTTGCCGCCGAAACCGAAACCCGTTTTTTTTGCCGAAACTCGACCGAAACCGAACTTTCAGTCGATCACTACATATTTATAATGCTCTCTTCTCTTCCTCAAAATTTTCAATTTTACTTTATACTTGTTGGAACTGGATTGAAGAAAAAAAACACGCCAATAAATTTCATATATTTTTAAAAACAGAATTAGAATAGTTTAACTATAAATATATAAAACCTTGGAGGCCAAAAATGAGTTGCCAATTAGACTAGATTAATATTACAAAAATATATAAAGAGCAATACTTAAACAAAAACTATATACTGGAGGGAATTCATACTTATGTACAAATAGCAAAATAAATTATCCAAAGTAATTTTTGGCAAGATTCACAACAGAATAATATAACTATAATAAACATTTACTCATAAATAAATAAAATATTCAACCTCAGATTGGTCCTTTACTTTGTATAAAGTGTTTTACATTTATCAGTCACGACATCTTGGATAGGAATCATTTCAAAAATGTAGTTAGTGCTTTTTCACTCGAATTTTCCAAACTAATTCAATTACCAAATGTATTTCAATTTAATACTTAATATTGCACATATTTCTCAATAAATATAGATGAACACAGATTTTCGATAAAAAAAAATATTTCCAATAAGTCTCAACAGAACATGGAACAATTTATCTAAAATTATTCTCAGTATGAGACGAAAATAGAAAGGATGTAGTAAATGTTTGTTTTGGTTACTTGGGCTATTTTCAATACCCTATATCCGTTTAATTCAACAACTAACATTACTTAAAATACAATAGTATTATCTAAAACAAAATTAAGGTACAAATCAACAGTCGAATTCATAGATGATAAAGTGGAAATTATTCGTGAATATATCGATCAAGCTGTCGGAATGTATTTTGTGAGGAATAACTCTGCATTCTGTCTATTTGATCATGATAGAAAGTTTTGAAAGGCGTTTTGACAATTTAAAATACCAATCTAGCATGGCAAAAAAAATTAGTCGTTCACTGGATTCTGGAAAACATTCCAAGTCCCTTTTTGTTTCAAATAATTTAAGCTTTGGCCATTGTTATAATTCAAAAAATAAATATCATCAACTAGGAAACAGTATAAACACAATGAAACTTTTTGTTTCAGTTAGGTTTCTCTCAAACTTTTGCTTTTATTAACGGGCGGAAAAAAGTTCAGAAACCTGTCGACCTCTGAACATAGAACATAGAAGAGTAAGTTATAGTTAAGCTCTGTATCGAACACAGCAACGTTGATAGTGATTTATAAAGCTGTCAAATTCCACTCTAATGATTCCAAAGTTTTCGAAAAGGTAAGTATTCAAAACTCAGACCCAATTGTTAAAGCTGTTCGTTATTGTGGGTGTGCAAAAAGAGGCGGTCTGGAATATTTTATTTTTGTCATTCGTCCAGCTCGTCCATTCTACATCTAACTGCCATCTCTACAACTTCCAGGCTAGGGTAGTCCAACTCCTTTACTAGGCACAGTACGGCAGAAAGAATGTTGGAATTCTGGAAATAAAATATTCTTGTTTCTAACTGATATAGATTGAAAGCCAATTTTAAATACTATTGGATTCTTTGAACAATGTTCGTTGATTATTCTCAAAAGTGCAAACAACTCAGTAATAATCTACAATTCTTTTGAAATTTTGTTTAGAATCATTCAAGTCACCATTCAGAATTTTCAAAATAATTTAGTAAATGTGACACTGAACTGACTATATACCTAATTATCATTCTACCAAACGGCAATTACGGTAATCATTCTCTGTCTAAGGATATATAGCAGAAGTATTCAGATGTATTCTAAGGCAGAGATTCTAATGTTACTTAAAAACTGTAAATCTATAAATTTTTATCTCACCCTCGTCACAGGTCGCCTGGCAAAAGGAGGCCGATGAGCAGCTGCAGAACAAGTGTATCTATCGCGCTTTTCGACATTTGTCACAGATATTTCACTAACGCCGTGTGAGGAGTTATACCTGTCTCCATTCGTGTATTCCTAGAAAAAAAATTTACATTTTATCCAGAAAAAAGTGTTGTTTTCTGCAATTGGGTAAATATTCGTTTTTCCGGATCGCCCTATTATTTGAAAATTTTAAAAATGGACTGTATTGAATGGGGATTTCACATGTCAATTCACGATGCACAGATGTCAGTTATTCATGGCGCTAATTCAAATAAATATTAAGAATAATGAATACAATAAAAATAGCAGTAGATGTCGTTGACACAAAAATAGAAAAAGAAACCAATGAAAACTACTATTAAAAGGCAAATAAAACTCAAAAATAGACAATGTAAACATCCATTACATAAGATAACTAACACTAATGACAAATACACATGTAGTCAACTAGGGATATGGTCCAAAATCAACCAAAATCTTTGTTATGCGTTCCAAAACTAATAATTGGTGACATTCGGAACATAGTTTCTTAAAAAACGGTGAACCAAGTCACCGGCATATACTGAACTATTGTACAATCATATTGAATATAATAAGAGTAGTCAAATGTAGAGCAAAGAGTAGAGTGACTGAAATGTTCTGACTCTGCTTTATTCAGTGATGACGTTTTCTATTTCGTAGCTCAAAAATTTTCTTTCAATAACATCATTATATTCATCGGGCGTTGAAGATGTTATTCTAAAAAAAAAATCAGAAAATCGGCATATTCGGTGATCTGGATTATCACCCTTCTTGTATGCATTCAAGTTGTCTCATTCAAGGTGATACCATAAATACCTGATTACTTACTAGCTAATACTTTTCTCAATGGACAGAAAAAATAAATCAACTGAATCTATGAATTTATAGTTGGTTTTGAACTTATTGAAATTTGCTCCAAAAATAACTACAATATAATTCATGGTATTTCAGGTAACCGCTGTCAACATTTCCGGTTAGTTTCGGTTACCAATTGGTTACTTTCGGACCATACCCTTAGAAAAAAATACATACGGACCCAACGAAATCTTTATCCGATAAGGTCAATTGACGTGTTTTTCTTCATTGATCACGAACGGAAAACTTGGCGTTCAGTCCACTTCCGGTAAAATAGTCACTCAATATTTGAAAAATTGACTAGGACAGTAACTCATTTCTGGTAACAAAACTTGTAAAAAATGGCAGCTTATTCTAACGAACCAAGGCTGCGAACTGATTTTTAGTTGCCACATCCATTTTCCATTCTAGGCATCCTTAAAACGGCGTCTTTTCCAGCAAACTACATAGTGTTATATTATGAACATAATTATGAATCTAAATGACACTTTCACAAACGACATTTCCGTTAATTTTGTTGGCAGTGTTACAAAATTTAACTAGAAATTAATGGGATGTTTTCAAATTCATATCACCTTTTTTTCATTTAGAAATGTGCCTTCTACAACTTATTCCATGTTCTTGGGCAAAGTTTAATATAATTTACTAAATTTGGTAACATCATTTTCATTGAAAGGGTCAAAAACCTCCGAAGAAGCTAGCCATGTGTGCTGGCCAAACTTCAGGAAGACATTCCGCATTAAGCCCGATAACTTCCGTAATTTTCATTCCTCAACTTTGGCCTTTTGCGAAATGACCGACAAATAATAATGACAAACTCTTGTGATTTCAAGAAATTCATTTCGAAAAGAGGGTTCCTATTATAGTCGATTTTTAAATAATTTCGAAAGCAGACCGGAACGCCAAATTTCGACTTGGGATTAGCGATCAGCAGGCAGAAAACCCCAGTCTTACTGAAACATAAGCCGAAAGATCGGGTATTACTTGCTATTAGTGTTTGCCCCACGTTGGGCGCCGAATGAATTCAGTAGAACTTTTTGAAAATCTAACCTCACACTGACCGTATTCGCAAAAAATTTTAATGAACGCGCTGAAACCTACCTTAATGCAGCTCGCCGATTGGCTGTTAACTATTTTAGTTTCCCTAAAGGTTGTTGTTTCGCATGATTGCACGTCGTCGAATGAGTTGTTAGTTGATGATTTCTGTTAGAAAAATGAACATTAGTATGCAAAACGAAAGCAATTATTATAATTAACTAACGACATACAATAGCGATTTCGATCGCTTTCACGTTTTCATGTAAAAAATACTATATCATGTGATCTAGTAAATCTAACCAATCAGTATAACCAGTTATACTGAAAAAATATTCTGTTTCTTGTATTGTTTTAGAATATTTGAGAAATCAAAGATGGAAGTAAAATCTAGAAAATTATTGTGGAGTTGATTCTCGCAGTTGATGTGGATCTGATAGAAAACTGATTAAAATGCATACAATTATATTCGTTTAGGATATAACAATGGGTTCACTCATCTATTGATATAACTCTTATCTACGAATCAAACACGTAAAATATTGATGCGAGTAAAGTGATACAAGCTGAGTTGTTGAAGCGTTATCTATCTTTTTTTTTCTATTACTTACATGAAACACTCAACAGAGCATCTAAATTATTCATACCACTATAAAAATAAACTTTACTCGTTCCATTTAACAACACGTTAATGAAATAATAATCTAGGGCAACAAGGTTGGTTGAAAATAATTTCTAAAATCTTCTCACGTTCATTACAAAAAATAAATAAACATTACGAATGATTTCTGAATCAGGAATCATTGAGATATCAACTAAAGGAGACCAACTTTTTCAAGAAGAACTGCAATAAATGTACAGCCGAGGTCTCTGATGAACCTTTTTCACTAATAAAGGGAATATATTTTAAAGAAAGAATATCATACAGTGCTACTTATAGCTCATAGGTTTTTGCAATTGTCAATACATCTTGGATCTTTGTAATTAACATGCAATTACAACTTCGAAATAACACTTTCTCAAAGTACAAAGGAGATTTGTTAAAAGTCTGTTCTGTAAATTGTTCCTTCACGATTTTTTGTAAAGTCAATAATCTTCCAACTTGATTTTGATAGCAGCATTTGTATCGACATTTACTACTTCTTATATCTACATTGTCATATTATATGGTTTTGTAAGCTTCTTCCGAATAAAAATTATCTTGCATTTCATATCATTCCTTATTTGATTTGTATAAAACTCTATGTTCAAAAACTTTTTCCATTCTATTTAGATATACTATTTATTTCATTTATAACAAAAAAAATAACACTCACCTCATAATATTGCTGTTGCTGCTGCTGCTGCTGTAACTGCCTTGGTGATTCTCTCTCGAAACTGCTCCTTCTCCTCTCTATATATTCTGTTTCAGGGGAATACGCTCTTCTCACGGGTTCATTTCTTCTAGGTGGACTGGTCTACATTAGACAAACATATTGAGTATGTGTCAACATGAATGAGAGTTTCAAAGAAGGGAGATTAAAATTAAATATAATAAAAATAACCCTACAATGTAGGGTTGAAAATCTGTTTCTGTTTTTTCATCAACAGCTGGTTACCAAGTAACAATACTAATATGGTTCGCCAAATTCACAACCAAAATCCCCATAAAATAAATGTTTGTGCAGAATAGTCAAGGTATGCCAAACGTTCTGTTACGAATTGGGGTAGTTTTCAACGAGATGGAGCCCCTCCTCTTTCCTTGGTACCAATGCAACAGTTCCTCGAAAATAACTTCCAAGGTCGACGGGTTCTCAGAGAGTCTACAGAATGGCCACTCAGATCCCCCGATTTGACCCCACTACACAATTTCTGTAGATAATTCACGGGAAGAATTTACCAGGTGCAGTAGGTTACCAACAACTGATATTCTATAGAAAATAAGGAACGAAACATTAAATAATGTAATTTTTCTGTTCAATGTTACTTTTTGGTTAAAATACAAACTTGCTTATTCAACATTTCTCAAAAACAGTCAACAATACTGTGATATTTCTTCAAGTGTTTCTCTTGTAATTTTTTTGCTTAAATTAGTTACACTACTCATTCAGGTTTATTTTGCTATTTATGAATTCAATAACAGCATTTAGATAGGCATGTTTTTCCCAACGTTTTTTAAAGTTGATAGAAACTTGTTCAAATGACACTTGAAAAAGCACACCTAGTAAATTTGTTTTAATATAAATACATTTACCTGACATGTCTATACATTATGGTGGCATTATTTATTAGAACAACAATGTTGAATTGTTTATGTTACAAATTATGACTATGATCATGATTTTGATACTTGTTATCCCAGTTAAAATGATATTTGATCGATCTTACCTGTCTCGGAGGAGAGTATTCTCGACTTTCTTCGGAAACGTCTTCTCTGGGGTAATTTTCCTCACTCTCTTCCACGTCTTCGTATTCGGTAGTCTGCGTCAATTGTTATTTGATATAATGGCATCGATAGTTAGGTAAAAATCAAGATGTATAGAATATTCTTGGTGTAATCACTTGAATCCTTCCCCACGTAAAACAGTTGTCAGAACTCTCGACATGCGACACTCTTGATGACGAAATAATTGAGAGATCCTACAAATTTCAGCCCCATGTGACACTGCTTGATAATGTCAAATTGGCACATCAACTCTCAAAGTTATTTATATTTGGGTGAAAATTGATATTGACAGATTTTTCACATTATTGTCCAGAAATTGAANCTCCTCCTGAGGAAATAAATGTCTGGACAGGATTTATATTTGGGAATTCTTCAAGACCTCTTTCAGTCACGGATTCAAGAAATTGTGACCAACAATCAAAATAGATTCGAAAATCCAGTTGTGTTTCAACAAGATGGTGCGCCCCCATAATTTTTAGGCCTGTAAGGGATTTGTGGATCAGACTTGAATCCTTCCCCACGTAAAACAGTTGTCAGAACTCTCGACATACGACACTCTTGATGACGAAATAATTGAGAGATCCTACAAATTTCAGCCTCATGTGACACTGCTTGATGATGTCAAGTTAGCACTTCAATTTTTAATATTATTTATATTTGGAAATAATTTAATATTGTGTGAGAATTTTTTTTTTCATTATGGTCCTGAATTAAAGATCTGAATAGAATACGAGCGACATATTTCGATTCTTGCGCCATCTATCAAAAAGTGTACAAAGATGGGTCAATCTCGTTTCTCAAGGTTAGAGTTACTGACAAAACAAAAGCGAATCGGTCAAAACACCAGGATTTCTATGCATCTTGGTAAAAAGTAATGGAAATATGACAATGAGATATAATGCAAAACAAATACAAGTTACCTGTGATTGTGTCTGATCTATATTGGCGTCGATGGAATAAAGAGTACCCCCAAACAATTATTTAAAGACAAAAATGGCATTCTCCAACAAAACCCATAGAAATTGGACTTTAATTCACATAAAAGTGACAACTAGGTACAAAACAATTCAAATTGTCAACCTACTTAAACTATCTTTTTTTCATTATAGAAATAACATAAATATACAAAATGATTACATAGTAAACGATGACTCAGCATTAACAGATAATGAAATCGTAAGCCTTTTTAATGATGGGGGATGATACCCCCGCTTAGTGGGCTAAAAATTCTGCAATAGTGTTTAGGTAAGAACTTGTCTCCCTCATAACTGGCAGTTATGGATGGCTCCCCCTATATACACAATGCAAAAGATTGTCTTTTTCTCGAGATCTGAATATGTTTAAACCCTGACAAAGTTTGTATTTACGGTGTGTTATTGGTATTGATACTGTCATTTTCATCAAATTGCTATTATTTTTCTCTCAATGCCAGTGATTTTATTACATTCGTCATTTTCGTACCCCGTTGAATTTACTAATAACGCTGTCAAACAATAACATTTAAGTGGTGTTGTGAATCGGAACATGGTCGTAGAAAAAGTATAGTCCACTAACCGAAACTTCGGACTCACCTCGTGTTGCGTCGGACTCGTCTGCATCTCCGGCGTCTCAGGCGGCGAAGGATACTGACAATTGTTCGGCTGGCGTCGTTGTGGCGGCGACGACCGAGCGCCGTACTCCTCTTCGCTGTCTTCTTGGGCGTCTTCTGGATGATAGAGCGTCCTCCCCCTCCTTTGAGCTTCCCTTAGTTCTTCCTGGGTCACCTGGACGTTGTCCAATTTTTGGAGCTGTGGCAAGGCTTTGATAACTGCCATGCGGTACCTTAAAATAGGTAAGATACTGCAAATGCCGGTGTACCACAGGGCTCCGATTCGGGCCTTCCCCTCTTTCTATTGTTCATCGAGGTTCTGAACTAGTTTATCAAGTGACTGTTACAAGTGGATGAAAAAATGGTAATCTGTTTATGAATGCTGTTTGCTTACACATATTAGGCCAATGTAAATAATTTTTCAAGAGAAAACAATTAATAAAAGCATAAAAATTATTGTATAGGAAAGAAAACAGAGAGCTGATTACGGGAAAAATATGTTGAAGTCAATCCAAGATACAAGGGATGAAATGGAGTGAATTTTAGATGGTTTTTCACGATTTCTACTGAAATCCAGACATCCTATGAAATGTGTAGGAAATATGAAGATATATAACATCTGTGTGTCAATTTGATAGGACGAGCCTGGACAAATGCGCCCGAGTGGGAAGCAACGTCCATTAACTTAGAAAGAGAGAGAGAGAGAAAGGAGCAGACTAGATATTTCGTAAACTTACCCCTCGGTATTCGCGCACGGGTTCTCGCCCAGCCACAGATTCTTCAAATTCGACAAAGCCTGCAGATACATAACTTCATTGACGTCCCTAATATCATTTTGTCGTATATACAATTCCTCTAATCGATTGCAGTACTGGAAATCCGCCAGACTGTTGATTTTGTTGATACTGAAACAATAGAAAAACCATTAATATCTCTCTAAAATAAATGACCCAACTGTTGTGAATTTATCGCAGAGAGCAACAGTTCATTCAATTAATTAAATTAAATTGATTAATTTAATTAAAAATATGAGTGAATTTCAAACTATAGTAATTCTCTGATTCGAAATAGACTCCAAAATAGACAAAACAACAAGCGGAACCCGAGATATAACATGAATTTGCCTAAATTACTGGCATCAACTTTTCAGAACATTACAAATAGTGCGGACACCCCACCCCACCCCACTCCACCCTCTTAACATTAGAACAGGGCAGGATATCAATATCGAACAAAATTTGTATGATAAGGAATCATTTTTAGTACTCCATAATTTTTCGAAGAGCTCACACTCCTCCTGAGGAAATAAATGTCTGGACAGGATTTATATTTGGGAATTCTTCAAGACCTCTTTCAGTCACGGATTCAAGAAATTGTGACCAACAATCAAAATAGATTCGAAAATCCAGTTGTGTTTCAACAAGATGGTGCGCCCCCATAATTTTTAGGCCTGTAAGGGATTTGTGGATCAGACATACCCAGGCATGTGG